TATTACATAATATATTTGATTCAGAGCAAAATAAATATGTATGTTGTTTATAGGAGTGGGCAAAATGTTGGCTTCTAGGTGCTGGCAGAACTGGTATGTTTCTGGAAAGTGTCAGCTTTGCAGATGAATTAGTGTTTCTGGAGCACAATCAAAAAAGCCATTTCTGTGACTGTTTTGAAGAGAACATGCAGTGAGAGCCAGGTGGAGCTCTAAATGACGCAAATATGAGGAAATGGCTTCTTTTGAGGATTTGGGGCCCTCAGTTTCCTTTTCTAGGTGAGTCAGATTCTCTGATGGCATAAGTTGTACTTTCAGAAATGCACTGACTTGATTCCTCAAGATCAATAGTTATTATCAAGTCTTTTGTCCCTGCATGTGGAAATCTTTTTGCTACAGGTTACTTGAAGAGAAAAACTACAGATTTTTTCAGGAGGTCTTTTCAAGGCCTTTCCAGACTGTAATGTTATTAAATGAGATTTATGGCCTCCATAGGGCTGTGCTTATGGCCATCCAGGCAACGAGGAACAGCCGGACTCGTGTATTCCTTCCATTGTCCATAACCATATTCAACTGCCTTTGTCCTAAAAGGTCTATTTAGCTATGTCTTATTTTGGGGGCAAATTGGACAAAGGTGTTTGGGTGCTGCTTTGAGCCTGGGCATTATTAAATAAGAAGCCAAACCAGTCTTTGCTCTGCACATTCATTGCATAATCAGAATGGACAATGAATATTTTTACCACCTCAATGTCTAGATCAATTTAGAGAATTTCAATTCCAGTGTAAGCAAGTGCCTTGATACACACCTCTTCGGTATGAAAGCTGAGACAGTGAACACTAGAGGGCACACTCAACATTTGGTAAACTGTTGTGGGTGCGCTGACTAGCTTTTGTGAACAAATGCCCTTTTATTAAAGCACGCGTAGCCCCAGGAGTAAGCCCATTCATGAATTTCCTTTTAGTGGGAGTGTAAGAAGGTCCTTGGGGCATGTTCTAGTGAAGATTCTTTTTGTCCTGAATTCAATTTACTGAACAGCTACTAAGTCCTAGATATACCGAACCGGCAGCCTCCTACCTGGAGACCCATGGGGCTCACTCGTTGCAAGCTTCTGACCTCCTTTTCCATGCTCTAGCTTTTCCTCTCATTCTAGTTGTTGCTTTTTATTTTGAAAAGTTGTAAAAATATAGGAAAACTCATATTATAGTATAATAAACATCAACATATCCATCACCTGGACTTAACAATCTTCTTAATATTTTTGAAGATTTATTGATTGCATACTATGAACTAATTATTATGCAAAGTGTTTTATCATACATTTAATGCAATACTTTGAGGAGTGATATTAATATTTCCATTTATAAACGAGCTAACTGAGGTTCAGATAAGCACATTAACTCCCCTAAAGTTAGTTAGTAGTGAAGCTAGAATACAAACCATAGTCAGCCTGGCTTCAGAATCTATGCTCCTAAACACCCAGTAATTTAAGTGTGGTCAGTGGACCAATTGCAGTAGAATCATCTGGGATGCTTGTAAAATGCAGATTTAGGGCCCCACCCAGACTTAATCAGATTATTCGGTGAGTGGGATGGGAGAACATGAAGATCCCCTGAATATCCATATATATATTAAGTTTGGCAAATTTTGTTTCAGAATTTCCAAGACTTGGTGACCTTTATGTTTTAAAAATGCTCACTCTGGGCAGATCTGGCTACGTAATTTGTGGGGCTCAGTACAAAATGAAAATGCGGGACCCCCTGTTCAAAAGGCAGGAAAAAATGGCATTGAAGACACTAAAATAAGGAACTCTTCCCTTCTGTGGTTTCTGGCAACCTATCATGGTGTTTTTACTTTACTATTTAATGTCATGCTCCCTCAGGCCTGGGGGATATTTACTGGGAGATATTTACACTCTGCAATTTAGCATATAAGCACAAACACACCCTTCAGCTGCCAGGTCTCCCCCTTCTGTAAGCCTCCAGACGGATGCCCTGTGTCCCAGCAGTGGGAAGGGTAAGTCAATCTTTCTTTCCCACTGGCCCACTGCAGCAATCAACCACAAAGGAGGGATACTCATGGGATTGTAACTTCTATGCCAGGGTGTGCTCAGTACCTGGAATGGAGATGGGCAAGAAGCTCACCCCTACCATTCACCTTCCAAATGTACTGTGACACATTTTTGGTCCTGAGATGCCATGTGGTCATGTCTCTTCCCAAGATGGCGTAGGGTGTGTGCACCCAACCTCATTCTTCCCTTTGATTGTGCAGGAGAAGAGTGACAGTGGTAGCTATTAAGAGTGAAAGGAGTATGCCAGAGTGCCATGGGTTGGGGGGTGGCAGTAGTCATTGGCCAAGTATGGGGAGGGGGAGGCAGGGCTGGCCAAGGCACCAAGGGACAGGGGAGTGGGAGGTAAAGAGTCCATCTCCTGAAGTTGGTGAGAGATGCGACTGCAGTAGTTTGAGGTTCCAAGTCCCCAGAGCCTACATGCCCCATCGTCTGACTTGAAACATAAATGCTAAGCATTGAACTCCTAATGTGGGACCCTTCTGAATGCAGGGTCCTGTGCAACTACACTGGTCACAAGCTCATGAAGCTGGCCCTGACCCCAAGTGTTTTTCGATGCCAAGCAAATTTGGGTAATGCTGTTCTATACTAATGGGTACAACTGAATACCTCTGTTCAAGTAGCTGGAGTTAAGAATTCACATGCAATGATAAAAGGGTGCTTCTCCTCTGTAGTAGAAGTGAATTAGACATCTCTCAGTTTAATGGGCTACTTAGGCCGGACGGAATGATATGCACAGCCCCTGGGCACAGAGACTATGATGTAGCTAGTCTGATTCTTGCCAAAGAGTTGCTGCCTGGAGCTTCTACTGCTTTCTGATAGGTGACTGAGAATATGATTGTGTTCTTTTCAGCCTGAAAAGCAATTTTTGCCAACCCCTGATTGGTATTAGAAATTTTAGCAAACATCTTTGCCAAGAAAAAGCCCTAAATATATATTTGCCTTAAAAGATATTACAAACAACTTGGTTTGGGAATGTTTACTTGGCTACCTCAGGATCACAGCTATCTAAATATTAGCTATTTGAGAGTGAGCTGCCTGCTTGGCCAAGGACAAGTTCTTGTAAGATGTCACTTCGGAAAATGATGGGAAAAGTAGGAAAGCATATGTTCTGAGCAAGGCATCCGAGTTCTGACCTGTCAAAACATTTTCATGTTTGTCATGTCAGAACAGGAGCCTGTTTTCTCCCTTTCAGACACACACAGATACACACCTAACACATCCACATTTACAAAATACACAGTCACATATCTGTTCTGATGCTTTTCATCAACAATGCCAATCCAAAGTAATAGCTGTTGCCTTGTTCTCTTCCTAACATTTCATCCTAAACCTGACCTTTCTCTGTGATTTCAGTAAATCATTATTCTACCTACCTAGCCACTAGCAGCTTTAAAATAATATTTTTTCTATGTTTGCATACTATTTCTTTCCCATATAAAAAGCAAAACCATTTCTACATGATGTGTAGCTTGCTATGCCCACAGGTATGATTCGCCCAGCCCTCGACCCTACTTCATTTTTCTGGGCACGGAGGTGATACTCACTTTTGGTTTTTAATGACTGGTTAAACAAGACTAGTCACTGAAATAGATTTCATCAAACCATCCTGGAGACTAATAGTCTAAATGTTCTGTCCAAAATAGTTTTGTGGGTCCCAGTGAGATTACATATGTCATCTTTTTATTTCTCCTAATCAGAACTCTATCACCTGAGCTGGGAAAAATAGAGGGTTACTTTTTCCAGGTGAAGATATTTCTATAGTTTTAGGATTTTCATATAACGTCTTTCTCCCAATCCCTCGCCCCCGCAAAAAAAAAAAAAAAAAAAAAAAGCTTTGGGTTGTCACTAATACTAAAAAAAAAAAAAAAAAAAAAAGGCTCTGGTTCATACCTATCGTAATTGCATGGGGGCGTGTCTGCCATGGGGGCGTGTCCTAATAGAATGTGAAGGATTGGGTCTGTGTAGGTGGCTGTACGGGTCAAGCGGTCATGTACCTTTATGTCTGCCATGGGGGCGTGTCCTAATAGAATGTGAAGGATTGGGTCTGTATAGGTGGCTGTACGGGTCAAGCGGTCATGTACCTTTAAGGATAGCTTCAGGCCAAAGCTGAGGAAAGCTGAGACTACGGAAAATGCCAAGACATTTCAAAGATTATTTAGGCCACAAACAGAAAAAAGAATAAAGAGACTGTTTCTCAAGACATATTTTGTCAGTTAAAACAGTTAAATACTGGCAATTGCATATGATACAACCTAATATAAAGGATAAGGAAAGGCTACGACTTGACTTCCATTGTATTCCTCCCTTGATAAAACGGAAAATAGAAGACCAGGTACTTGGCTTATGGGGCGGATGGATCCTAAACGCCGCAGAAGAAGTGGGAGGAGCTCTTGGGGAAGTTTGCACATGCTCATAATTGTCCGCTGACAGAATCAAGGACATATTAAGAAAAAAAATATTATTTTAAAGCTGCTGGTGGCTAGGTAGGTAGAATAATGATTTACCAAAAGAAAATTAAAGCTTTAGAAAGCCCAAAGAGCATGTCACTTTTTCATATCTTTCACTTTAAGCTGTTGGCGAAGTGTAGGCGTAGCGATTTCCCTTTTTTCTCTAATGTTCAAAACTTTTCATTGCTTTCCTACGGAGCTGTATGAAATCCGAGTCTGGTTTTAGTTTCCCACTGCACTAAGGATATACTGAGTCCTTGAAATATCCTTTCTGTTCCTATATAGTGCACTTAATCCTGTAGCTTCCTCTCTCCCCTCCTGAGGTGTCCCTGCAGAGTCCTTGATTCCTTTCCCCAATTTCTCAAAGGGCTCTGAGCCCACCACTGGGCATCTGGAGAGGAAATGAAGGAAATCGGTCTTGCACTTCCCTCCGCTACCCGCCTCGGCTCCAGTCGTCTCTCAGACCTTCTATCACAGTGATGCCTCCGCGAAGTCAGACAAGTCCGCTTGCACCTTCGACTTTGGGGGTGGGGCAGGGCCCCGCGGGCCGGAACCGTAGGGGACTCTGGGAAGCGCCTGTCGCCATCGAGGTGCAGCTGTGGGGCCCTTGCCTCCAACCCGGGAAGCTAAGGTGAAAGCCCTAGAATAAGGTAAGAAATGAACGCGACAGCGGACAGGCCACGTGGAAGGCGCGCATCGCTCCTCCGGGTCTCAAAGCTGTCTGCTAGCCAACTCTAATCTCACCCCCGGTGAACCAATGCCCTCGATCCTCTCCTGGATGGGGTTATCTGGCCTCTGCTGTCCCCAGTGACAGAACAGCTCTTCAAGTCAACAATTAGACAAACATTTATTCAACCAGCGTTTCCTCCCAAAGCTACCCAGCCCATGTGACCGACCCTGTGGTTGGAAAGCACTTTCGTAACCGGGGCAGAATCTGCCTGTAACTTTCACCTGTAAATCCACAAAGAAAAAGTCATCTTCCCCTTCTCTCTTTGGCCCTGTAGCTCTTGAAACAGCGCACTTAAACATTTTCTGTAAACCTTTCCAGTTCAAACTGTTCATTACACCAGATGTTCTTTGTGGTATTTCTTCACCCAAGTGGTCGCTTTTTTCCCCACCCCCTTTTATGAAGCATCAGTATTTGGAATTATTCTTTTCTAGGTAACACTGCTAAACAGTATTTCATATTTCAGAGCCACAGGTAGAATAATTTGGCCTTTGAAACCCCAGCTGCTGCTTGCTTTCTCTTGATGCCTTGGCTGCAGCAGGTGCGTTGCAGTCTTATCTGCAGTGAAATCAAGCATTTCCACCCTGCAGATTAACCATGATGGGTGGAGCTGGCTCTCCTGCAAATGAGAGATTCTGGTTTGTTTTATTTGTTTCATCTTTGTCTAAAAGTGACTTTTGTACACTCGATTTATCTCATATATTTGAAAACCATTAACCTTTCGTGAAAAACTGGATGGAGGTAGTTATGGAGAGACAGTTTTCTGGTGAGGACAAAAATAATGCAGAAGTATGACTGGGTCTTTCTCAAGTATCCTAGAAAGTAGCTCAGCTCTTCACCTTTGGGAAAAAAAACCTTAAAATCTAGAGTTTTGTACCTCTCCAGTCAGTAATCTTACTTCATATGGGTAAAATAGGGAGTGAACATGTGTGCACACATGTTAGTGAGTGATCTTGAACATTCCAAATGATCTTTGCTACACTTGATATGAAAGACACAGCAGATACACTAACTACAAGTGTGCAGTGAGGAAGACATGATAGATTTGAAATGATGTGTATCATTTATGTCTTCCTCATAGTACAACTGCAACCATCATCAGATAGTTTCTGCTGCTTAAAAGAAAAAAAAACTCAGCTTGCTAATTAAAATTTCTATTAGGAAACATTGGCATTGTTAAAACATTGGCAAGCATCTGGCTTAAAGGGAGTGACTCAACTGAGACTGTATAAAACTCCATTTTTAAACTCTCATTTAAATGTATTTGCCATTTCATTTCTGGAATGACAAGGGGACAATGCTAAGCCTACAATGCATGCATCCTGGGATTTTCATTTTTAATCCTCAGGTTTTTTTTTTTAATGGAAAGTCATCTTCTATGCTAATAAAACACCCTGAGTGACTGGATACTCCATTCTAGGCACTGCTTTATGTCCCACAAGCCCAAGGAAGATAATAATTATAAAGTAGAATCTTTTATTCTAACCACCTTATCCATGGAAGTTGGATACAGAATGAATGAAAATGCACAAGAACATGAAGAGTAAAATTAGAGAGAATTAGATATATGGATGTTAAATAGAATAAAGCATAATTAGAGTGACTGGACCCAAGAGAGATTGTTCAAAAAGAAGTCGGTGGAGAAGGTAAAAGGTCATGAAAGAAAGTAAAGATGGGGGTGAGTGAAGGAAGAGGTCATGGTGGGTGAGGGAAGCAGCACTGGTAGGATGCTTAAGTAGATGACAGAGGGGCGTAAAGGAACATATAGCATATTTTATTGGCTATAAGATCAAGTCCAGCATATATTATTAAAAGCGAAGGTAAAAGAAAGGCAAACATAAAGTTTTGGTTGTGATGGTCTGCAACTCTTCAGTATCATTCTCAATAATATCTGTGCCAAATCCCTATTTTCCAGGGATAGGTTCAATATCTTACACCGATTGTGTTGGCAAATGGCAGACAATCTGGAGAATCTTGGATAGACACATAGCTAGTCTCAAAATTCCAGTGGTGTTAAACCTGGGGACATTTACCTGATCCTGGCTTAAATTGTTACCTGTTTGATAACTGAAAATTCTTTAAAGCTGTTGGTCTCTGATGGCAAAAGTTCAGACCTCAGTAGAGAAAATGTTTTAGAGTGAAGCATCTTTGAGATTACTACACATTCACATGATTGTGGTCACTATGGAGTTTTATGTTAGATTCAACTCTTGTAAATACTGTCCAATAGAACTTTCTGCAGTGATGAAAGTGTTCTGTATCTGTATCCAATATGGTAGCCACTAGCCACATGTGGCTCTTCGGTACTTGAAATGTGGCAGGTGTGACTGAAGATATTAATTTTAAATTTGGTTAAATGGTAGTTAACTTAAATTTAAATAGCCACATGTGGCTAGTAGTTACCTTATTGGACAGCACAGTTTTATATAAGGACCAGTCTGGCTCTTTGCCTCTCAGGCTTATTCCTTCTCTCTGATGGAATCATTTATGCTTTATCTGTAGCCAGTTAAAACCCAGGTTTTGCTACAAATTTAGCTTTTGTTAGTTGCTCAAAAATGTGCACAGGTGATTCTCATGTTGGTTGTCCGCAGATCATCCCTGGAGGAATTTGGGTCTAGGTACCATGAGTCTACTATTGGGTGTTTTGGATCTTAGCTTCTGTGACAAGATTGTTTCCTTGGTCCAGTGGGTTTCAAATTGTAAGGTGCATCAGAATTACCCGAAGGGCTTATAGCACACAGATTGCTAGGCCCCAACCCCAGAGACCCTGATTCAGTAGGTCTGGGATGTAGGATGAAAATTTGCATTTCTAACAAGTACCCAGGTGATTCTGATGCTACTGCACTTTGAGAACCACAGCCTTGGACCAAGTTCCTATCTCATATCCTGGTTCCAATAGCCAAATTCTTGCCTTAATCCTTTCTACTTGAGTCGTTTTAAAAATCCCTTTGAAATAATCTAGTTTTTCTGGACCTAGAGACTTTCTGACTCTCACCAGTTCTCCTGGGGGCTGAAGCTGAAGTGGTACCTTGAACCTCAGTACCTGTGACCTTGCTTTCTAGCCCTCCTCTATTGCTTGTCTGGAATTCTGCTATGCTATTTCCTTGATGCCAAACTCTCCTTAACCTTGTATGGTAGCTGTCCCTGGACTTTTCTTTCTCCAGCTCCCCACTTACGGGAGCTCCTCATATTGCATACTGTTGAAACTTGCCTAAACACTTCCCTCACCCTGATAGGTCTGTCTAGTGTCCTAGCCTCAGCCTCTCACCTGGCCTACCCCTTGCCCACTGAACTCCAGTTTTGACACACCACCGATAGAGAGTACCTGCCAAGGGAATTGACCTGGTTTGGCATTTTCTCCACCAACAACTCGAGTGAAGTCGTTAAATGGTTGAGTGCTTTCTGTGATGTTATTCAAATTTGTTTCATCTTCAGTAGAATTTTCATAGTCCATATTGGAAAATATAGACTCAGAACGGGTGAACTTCGTAGAAGCATGTGAGACAGAAACTCTTCCACATGGAAATGGCACTAGAAAATGGGGAAAAAAAATAGTATTAGGGTATTTCTCATTGAAAAGTAGAAGAACATGTATTCCAAAAATTGAAGATGAGGCCCATCCTTGTCACTTCTAAAAAGCAGGCCCATCAATATTTTAAAAAATCTAATCAATGAATATAGTCTCAGACTATAATTGTATTATTTTCATGAAAAGTTTTCAAACCCTTCCTGAAAGGAACATTTAGCCCAGGAATCCATCATCTTTATGGAAATAGGATAAGTGGTGCGGAATCAAATTTTGTAAGACTTTTTATAATGCCTAATGAGTTGACTTTCTGTTCGTTTGTTTGTTTGTTTGTTTATTTATTTATTTGTATTTGTGGAGTGGGCAGCTGGCTAAACTCAGAGATCTGCCCAAGGTCACACAGACCTGTTCTAGGAGTTGCGAGCCCGTTGTTT